ACTATACTATAATAGATCGTTTTTTACCACTGGAGGATTTATTTCCAAAATGACTAATGATACTAGTAAGTCTGTATGGTAATGCATGTCTTTTCTCTTGAGGAGAGATTTCTTTCTCTGCTATTACAGTCTCTAGTTTCTTACCCATCAATTGCCTAGCATAAAAGAAGGTTTATGCACTAGGCATTGTAATGGAGTCATACCCAAGAACATCTTGTTTATTATTATAAGGAGAGGAGAGTATTGGGTCAGGATTAGAAACGGGTGCTAGATTTAAATGGCGTGGGATTCGAACAGGATCAAGATTCTTGTCGCAACTGCCGCGATCGTTAAGAGAGTACCTCTTAAGAGTAAGTATAAGTACTCTTGGTAAGGCTGATAGCTTTCTTGATAGAGTACAAGATGAGTTAGAACAACTGTGACACTTGTACTCAACAGTTTCACTCTGAAATCATGAAGTAGATAGGAGAACTCAAATTGCACAATTACCTTGAAATAATCTTCTAATAATTCTTGTAGACTATTGCGACTACCAGTTGTACTATATAAAAAAAATCATACATCGTCATCATTGTAATATTTGTGACTAACAAGTGAAGAGAGAGATCTAAGACTTCTTCATATTTATTTACTGTGGAATGACAAACGGTACACTTCAAACTCTGCTCTATACTGCTCTTGAAATTAATCTCAACTGGACAGAGACTGAATACCTATGATAAATACAAAATATTATAACTCAAAAGTGCAAATTAAAAAAAATAATCCTTAAATTTTAAATTATTGTAATTAGAGTTATTGCCAGATCTAAATGAAATTTTAACTGCATTTTATTCTTTGCATTGTACACCTTACATCAAAAATATTCACATTGACCAATGAATATACAATCAAAGTTATTACAGAATAAAGTTGCATTTTGATTGGTCAAATTAGCTCTTGCTATTATTCATGACTCATGTGACCAAGAACTAGCTTTGCTTCTTTCAATTATGGCTACTGGAATAGATAATACAATAAAGAGTAATAGTGAAATTTCCCAGGGGCCAGAAACTGATGCTGCTGCAGGTATTGAAAGCAAGGAACCTCCTTACCCAAGTGACATTGAAGATAGGCCAATAACCTCGCCAAAACTTAAAGATGCTTTTGACTCCCTTTCACAAGAGAAAAAATATAAGATACAAGAATTGCGTGATAAAAAGGAGCCAATCAATATACTAGTCATTGGACCAAATGGTTCAGGGAAATCAACAATTGTAAATACTTTAATGGAAGAAGAAGTGGCAATTGTTGATCAGGGAGCTGAATCAGTTCAATCTGAAACAATAGAAAAAGAAAGGGTGGTCAAGGAAGTACAGATAAAAATATATGATACCATTGGGTTTGGTAACACTAAAGGAAAGAGTGGGGAGCATATAGTACGAGAAATAGCCAAGAAGAATAAATTTGATTTGATCTTGATATGCTTGAAGTTTGATTCTCGGGCCTATGGTGATGTGCAGAAAATGTTCACAACACTGAAGAAGGAAATCAGCAATGAAATGTGGGAGAGATCAGTAATTGTACTGACCTTCACCAACATGTTCCTTCAGCTTCAAAATATAAAACACTTGGAAGATGATGAGAAGGAGGAAGGCATTCATCGTAAAATTGCTACATTTAAAGAGAAAATATCTGGTTTCCTTTCCGGCCAAGTTACAGAGGAAACAATACACAACATACCATTCTGCATTGCTGGAGAAGAAGACGAAAGGGAATTACCAACCACAGACGATTGGCTAGTGGCATTGTGGGAGTCTTGCATTGACCGATGCAGTGAAAGGTCTCGTCCTCTCTTAAAGTTTTACTCAACCCAACGATTACTAGGAATAACAGGGAACATAAGTCTCCCTACAGTGACTGGAGCAGTAGCAGGTGGAATAATTGGAGCTGGGGTTGGTATAGTGGGCCATGTCCCAGGTATGGTAGGAGGAGCAGCATTGGGAGCTGTAGCAGGGGCAGCTGTTATGGGTAGTGTGTCTGGAGCAATCGTTAGAAAGGACACCCAGAAAAAGAAAATGAATAACTAGCTAAAAACATAAATGCTATCTTCTGTACAGTATTGAAAATTTATTTAACACACAATATGTATATAAATACTATACATAGATATCTAATAGAAAATGATAATGCATGACCACAGATTAGGGCTGGGCGATAGTATAGATAGTTGCACTATCGTGATAGTGTACAGCTATCATGTGTGCATGGAGCATGTGCATAAATGACACTTGACAGCTGTAATCATCTTCTAATTTGATAGCAACTTCCACTTGAGAGTGGTATGACTTGCTAGCACAGCTGCTCAA